CTTCAACATTGTCTAAGATGGGAGCTTTTTCAATCAAAACTAACCTGAACGGACTATGGATTGATTGATGGAACCCCGAACTCTACGGCCGCCCATAAAATAAGGCAAAGCTCGGCTCCAATGATTCCATCAATCCAGCGAGGTACTCCAAAATATGGATCGGCAAGATCTAGATCCCTTAAATGATACAGGTGAGTCTTTTCTATCGCAATAGATGACATTTTGTCAACCACAAAAGAATTATTGCCACACTTGACATTTTCATCCCATATTAATGACAATGCTCGCCCGTTTTGCCACCAACTACTTTCGGCACGCCTCTGAAACCTATGATAGAAATTTTATTATTCTATTGGTAACTTTCAACAAGCACTCAGGGTTAAGAAATGATATTAATTGTCTGAATCAATTAGCATCCGGATCTTTAGCACTCTCTCTCTCTCTGAGTAATGAATAGGGCGTTAGTTACGCTTGGAATACTGACTATTTTCCGATGGAGGTAAAGTTTTGATTTGTTTCTCTAAAAATTACACCAAATCAACATATTTAGTTATTTTTTTATCTTGGTGTGCCGTCTAGAATTCTCTTCGCGTAATTGAGTCTAAAATCCACAACCCCTTAAGCAAACAAATATAATGCTCTAGAGAAGGAATCAAATCCAGCTGCCTCAAAGCACCGATCGAAGCACATAACTTGTCTCAAACCATTGTTAAACCGTCTCGAGATTGTGATTTCAGACGCTTAATCCAAAAATCTGGTCAATATAGGTATCAGCTAAACTTCGATCGTCATTACAAAGATTGAAAAGGGCCTTCCAAATTATCTAATAATTACTAGCTACAGTTTTCAAGGTTTTGCAGATGTTTAAAGCTGGACCATGTAATTTAGAAACTATATATTGTAATTTCTCTAAATGCGTTAAGAGCTTATTATCATCAACCAAGGTTTTAAACAATTCGTAAGATACTGGGCATTCATCAGTTAAATGAAAGAATATCATTTCTAGGTTTATATGAAAGAAGGTGAATAGGTTTATTCCTGCAATATGGTAGTTCCTTAAAGAAACTTCCTTGTATTTAGAACAAAATTTTGCCCATTTTACCGCCACCAAAATCGTTAAGACAGACCACTGATTTGGGTGAAGGAAATTCTCCCGCAGAGAATTATTTTATCCTTGCTTGTGACTTTAGAAGCAATTTCATAAGCCGATGGGTCCTTTTAAAGTGCTTCTCTCTTTTGGCAATCAATACTCTTAACATTAGTTCCAACATTTTTCCCAAAGGTAAAAACTATTTTAATAGACAAACACAAAACAAGTGATTCAAATAAAATTTTGATTTGGTATCTTACTTGATTGTAACAATGATTTACTTCAAAAACAGTAAATTTAATTTAATAATAACAAAACCTTCTCGAGCGTAACCTTATGACTAATTGAACACCAGCGATCGATGTCTATCGATTACTGATGGACCAATTTCGATATCTAGCGACCAATGTCTTTATCGATTGCAACATGGCTAATCCTAAGTATAGCTCTAATCTCCCGCCAAGTACCGTGATATTAAGTGAAATGAGAATTCTATGATAAATTGGTAAGAAAATAGGAGGAAAACCCGGTGAGATGTAATCTCATAAAAATGTGGGAAGGTAAGACTGTATTATTCGATCTTTGATGAATAAGTTAAGAAAAAAGAAAAAGAGGAGACTGTAAAAGTTCATTTTTAATCTGGGCACTTAGTCCTTTAGGAATAACACTAATGTACATCAAAACAGCATTTGTCTGTTTGCATTGATAAAAATTAAAGTAAATTATAAATTTAAGATAAATTAATGCATGATTTAAAAGTAAAAAATTGTTATCATGATTAAAATATAATACATGAAATAAAATAATAAGTAAATAATTGAATCGAGTACACACTGAGAAGATGTACACTCATATTTACCCAAACTTAGCTGAACATTCATCTTTATATGTCGGCGGAAGATTGGTGGTTCAGGAGATGTAAAAATAGGTGATGTTTGAATGAGGATAGCGGGAAAGCTTTACAAATGGAAGTAGGTTGGGAATTACACAACAAAGTCATTCGAACTATAAAGGATTTTTAAAGAAAGCTGTTCTGAGCGATGGTAAAGATAAATCGATGGATTGAGACCTCATGTTTAAGACGTAAATTGATGAAAAGGGTGAAGAGGTCAAGAATGTAAGATGGTTTGTTTGTTCTCAAGGATTGGAGTTGAAAGGTACCAAGGAGGTATTGTCTTCGGAAATTATGGAATAACTAGCCTTTCTCGAAATACCTCTGAGAGTTTACGAAGCTCTACTAAACGATTAGTAATAAAAAATGGGATATAATTAACCTTTTTTTGCATTGATCCCCTGCCTGCCTATTTCTGATAAACGTGGGATGGATGGGGGGTTTCCGGCGCTGCTAGGCTTGAGGTTGATAAGGTTGTGAAATCGTAGTGTATCCACGGAATTAATCTCAACACTCTCGTTAGAGTAGGTTGGTTATATCTGTATGATAGCGTTCCTTCTCACATTCAGACAGTCGCCGGTAAGGTTTAACAAATATGACGGTGGCCGAGTCATTGCAACCCGCCCTTAGCTGTTATAAATATATCAGTCAGAACCACTTCATTTAGAGCTACAATTCATTTCGGTACATTTTAGAGGATTCACACAAGCTGTGTGTATGGTGTCATTGTCTTACTGAAAAATATAACTTTTCTTTTTCCCAATTTTTTCTTTACTAATTGATAGATTTTTTTATAAATGTCGACATATTTCATTTGATCTATTATACCATCTATACATTCGAGCGATCCTAATCAAGCAGTATTCATACCACCCCAGACCACGGGTGGCTTACTTCCATGCGCTTTGATGTTCAATAAGTTGTAAATGTTCGACAATTTTCATTCCTACCTTAGTCGTTTTCTCTGAACTACGCCGTATTATACCGTTATAACGTTCGGTGTTATACCGAACTAAGATTATTATGTGGTATAAGTTGTCAAAAAGATCCAATGTAATGAAAGTGCTCTCCAGTTCAACTTATGGTAGGAGTAAAATCTCTTTGCTAAGATTTTATAGGTGTCTAATAAGACCTGTGTTTAATTATGTTTGTGAAGTTTTGTTACTGAGATACTGAGATACTTACTGAAGTTGCTGAGATACTTCAAAGAGAATATTGAATAGATTAGACCCAATACATCATGCAATGATCCTATAGCGACCGAGGTATTCAGGACTAGTTCTATCAGCAGTTTATTCTAGGAAGCCCAAGATTGGCCATTGGAACTGAATAAACATTATATTTTACTTAAGTTTCTAGGCCGCTTAAAAATCACTCAAGACTTATTTGATTGGGCTTAAGACTTAGTGCTACCCGATGAAACCATTCGGTTCAATCTTCTTTCGACCTATTTCGTATTCTCATCCGAGCTGTATGTCATTTACCCATTCATAAGCCTCATTAGTGAAACAAACAGTACTCAAATTCTTATCTGTAATGCTTCATACTCAGCCCTCAAAGAAATTCAAAATTTTCAACTGTCCAATAACACCATTGCATTTTCCATATCCCATCTCCCATCTAATTCTAAAAACAAACAAATTAATAAAAGTCCTTTTGGTTTCGTGTCACGTCGGAATTCTAGGTAATGAACTGGCTGACACAGGTGCCCAAGAAGCATGTACCATACTTCTAGTTCCAAAACGCAACACGGTTCTGTATGATTTCAATACAGCCGTGTTAAATCAATGTAAAGAAGCATGGCGCCACATCTGGTCCAAGGTTCGGAGCAGTAACAAAATGAAGAACATTTATGACGATCTCGACCACTCCCTCAAATAGTAGGGAATCAACGAGAACAAACTATTATTAAAAAAACCAGGAGAGGACACAAAAGATTGACCCATGGACACCTCCTTGAAAAGAATACTTCACCAAAATGCTGCAGCTCTTGACAAGGCCTTGAATATAGAACATATTCTGGAAACCTGTCAGCGTTTGTATTCACTTCGCTATGTCTCCTTGTCTATAGTCAAGCCTTAAAACAAGAAAGTCAATAGAACTTATTCTAGTTCTTGAAGATCAACAATATTTATAAATTGATTTAAATCATATAACTTGAACTCGGTGCCTCTAACCTATGTAGTTGTACACGGCAACAGTGATGCTTAGTAGGAGGTTTTATGGCGCAAGTAGGACCATCAAAATTTTTGAGGGGGCATATTTGGACGTTTTTTTTAATTTTTCAGGGAGGCCACATTTCAAGGGGGTTATGAATTTCGGAATAAAAAGTTTCAGAATAAGGGATAAGGAGAAAACATGGAACAGACCGCAGCAAGTGTAATTGTTTATGGTCTACGATTTTTCTAATTCTACTTTCCCTTGCTCTGTTTTAAGAAAAGGTGAGCAATAAAATATCTTGGGAGAGGGAGGGGGTAGGTTCTTGTGCCATCAACTTTGAGGGGATGGGCACCCCTGCCGTCACGGCACCACAAACTGTAATCAAATAAATAAATAAGATTAACATGCAGGCCCAACAAGACATACATAGATGATGCTACTACATATGAATACGAGTTTTAATATTTATTTAGTGTAGGAACAGAAAAAAAAACAAGAATAATAATGGAGTGCAACAATGTTTTTGGATAGTTTTATGCATTGATTATTTTAAATAATTTATTTATATTGCAATATTATGCGATTTATAAGATCAAAAATATGATTTTTTATAAAATTGTTGATGTTAATATTAAATGGTGTTATTATCTCCTTCTAATAATAGCAATACAATATTTTTTTAAATTAATTTTATGTTGTTTAAGTTTTATAACTGGTGTACGATTACTTTTGTTATTAAAATAATAATTTTTAGTGTAAACTTATTTTTCAATAAATATGATAACTGTAACGTTCTTTTAATATACCTATTTATACTTACCTCTGAAATGCTCGTCATTCTACTGACTTTCATTCAGAGAACGACAATGTTGTGTTTTGTTGTTATACATTGTTGATTAAATACTCAATAATTTAAACATGTATTTGGTTGATTCAATGCTTACAAAGCTTGAAATTTTACCATTTATTATTAAATAATGATGCTAAATTATTTAGATAAATTCAACAAATTTTAAATCAATTTCTGTATTTATTATAGTATGACCAATATTTATCCAAACGATAGTGGTGACATAATTCATCTGAATGTTGGTGGAACTCGGTATATTATTTATTTCTACTATATTCCTTTATTTGAAATTTAATTTCCTAAAATTGTATTGACTACAATTATTCTTTTTTCTGTAGTTTTTCCACTTCAAGACATACATTATCATGGATCCCAGATTCTTTTTTTACTGCATTGCTAAGTGGAAGAATTTCAAGTTTAAAAGATGAAACCGGAGCATTTTTTATAGACCGTGATCCTAAATTATTTGCAACTATTTTAAATTATTTAAGGACAAGAGATATTGATATTTCTAACTGTGATATTTGCCCTTTGCGACATGAAGCAGAATATTATGGTATAACCCCACTTGTTAAAAGGCTGATACTTTGTGAGGATTTGGACCAATCCTCTTGTGGGGATGTCTTATTTTATGGTTGTCTTCCTGCACCAAGTGAGTTAGATGTTTTAACATTTTTATAAATTAATTAATTTGAGAACATTTCTTAGTTAAATTCTTTCTATTTTTTAGGTGTACCAATTCCTGAACAAGGTTCCCAACCTAGTACCAGCTCAGGAGCGCAATCAAAAACTAATGAAAACCCTGTTCATATCAATAGAGGTACAGTGCCTGTGCCATCTATTCGACCCGAAAATGTAACATCCAATGTGAATTCATCAGGTAATTATAGTAGTGTCAACTTCGTTTGTAAAGTATCATACTGTTTATGGAATTTCAAAATTATCTGAATGTATCCAAAAATATACCTAGGTGATTGAACTGCAAAGCCTTCCTACTGATATGTAAACTCATAAATAACAGTGTGATCCTACTAAAATGAATTAAACTACCTTTTAAAATGTAAAGTTTAATTTAGCCAGAGAATGACATGGTTGAAAAGAACAAATTGAAATACGATCATTAAAACATGATTAATAACTTATGAATAGATTCTGTTAATCAGTATATTGTTACCGAGCAATATTGTAACAAGAGAGTTTACGGTGACTTATTGTTGCCACAAATGGTTTATCACATTCCTCTACTCTTCATTTAAATATACTATATTAAATATGTTAGTGGTTAAGCGTACACTCACTTCTTATCAGCTGTACTTTTGGAGATGTCTTTCAGGGAAGGGTGGTTTTCCACTGCTAGTTCTGTTCATGTATCGGACTATTGCTCATCTAGTGAAAGATAAGGTTCCTGGGAAGGAAGAAATTGAGTGTAGTCTGCTTTGAAAACTTTAGTTTGATTACCAGCATGAATCAAATACCTCGATTTAACTGTTGCTTGTCATCCATCTGATATAAGCATTTTCAGGATTCGCCTTTAAGAGATCCATTTCTTCCACAAAAACATCAAACTTACTACTTTTTTTTTTTCTCTTCCACCTGCAGTGGATGTTGAATTATTCCTTTCCAACATTTTACCTTTGGATATTTTTCCTAGTCATTACGAGAAATTTTGCTCTTGGGCGTTCTCTTGGTCTCTAACCAAATGGACGATGTTCTATCATTTTGTGATGGCCCTTGTGTGTTCCCATTTTACATTTCAACTGTTTCCTTTCAATTGTTTCCATGGTAGAGCACACTTGAGCTTCTCATATGTTTCCTTCTTATTTTATCAGCCACTCCATTTTTTCTGCAGTGATTTGACTCTGATATTGGTCACTTTATATTCCGATCCCACTTCTCTCTTTACTACCATTGTGTTACATATTGAAGTAAACAGTGTTTTCTTGAAAAAAATGGGAGTAAACAGTATTTTCCTTGCCAATCTTGTATGAAATTCAGCTGTCCGCTTTCTCTGAAGTTTACATTACTGATCCTAAGTTAAAGTTGTCCCATCGAAATTCCATCTCTTGACACAGGAAATGTTGATTTCTCTTTGGATCAGGCTCACCTACTGGATTTTATTTGTTGGTGTATTTACTTTCCTACCGTTCTGTGACCAGTGTTAACTTTTGATGGGAGTCCAACATTGGAACCATATCATCTTCATAAAAAAGTGTTTATATGACAGCGGAGCTTATTTCCCATTGTTTTAATGGATTAAATTACTGAATATTACAATATATTGTCCTTTTTTTCTATGTTATAGGCCCTTTTAATGTTGTGACAACCCATACTCATCGAGCTCATTCTCGTAATTCATCTTGGGACATGAGAGTTGGCTCAAGAAGCTCTACTGATCTAAGAAGTTTATCTCGTCCTGGCCATTCAAGGACAGCATCTTTGGATTTATGTCATGCTCATGATGTAAACAGAGTTGTTAATAATGACTTAGCCCTCATATTTCACCAAAATCAAGGTAAGAGCAAGATGTTCTTGTGGTATCTATATATTTAAAATAAACATGTGTTAACAATATTCAAAATCTTATAATGTGTTATTTTGTATTTTCCAGTCTCTTATTGGGCAGATCCGCTACGAGTGCAAATAATAAAAGCACATCACCATTGTATAGCTGTTGCCTACGCTCATTTTGTTGTGTGTTATAGGTATACATTCTATATTGTCCTTTTGCTAGTACATTTCTGATACATTATAGTTTATAATTCTATTAATGTAGTAATTTACATTTATCATATTTTCATTAGAGCCATACATTTTAATAAAGGAAATCATTAGTAGTAGTAAATGGAATATTTATAAGATATGCTTTTTTTTTTTTTTTTTTTTTTGCTTTCATTAGAGATGTGATGCTTATTAATTTTTTCAGACTAAAAGATTCACATGGATGGCAGCATGTCTTCACATCTCCACACATTGAAAGTTGTATTGAAAGAGTTGCTGTAAATGCTAAAATAAGTCAAGGTACTGGCTGTGAAGCATCTAAAATGGTTGCAATATCTTATTCAAGTCATGTTCGTCTGTGGGGTATTACAGAACATGGAGCTAAAACTAATATAGGTTTGCTTATTTTTTTTGTTTTTTAATAGGCCATAATTTTTTTTTATTTTTAAGAACAATCCTTTTTTGGTATTTATAAAAAATAAACTGCCCACAAATTAAGTGGAATTCTTACACTAGTCTAAATCTTATTAATTTTCTTTTATTACAATGATTTATCTGTAGGAGGATTAATGAAAAATTAAAAATGAACAAAAACAAAGTCATACTGTTTGTTTCGCGATTTGGATTTAATCTTAATTTATTCACCTAAAGAAATGAATATTCATTTCTCTTCTTTAGTACTCACATAGCCAGTGCCCTAGACAGTTTTTTTAATAATATCTTTAAAACTTTAGCAACCAAGCCATTCGAGTAAATCTTTCTCTGTGGAACAAATTGTTTTTATCTCTCAAAAGTTGTAATTTACTGTTAAAAAAATGTACTGCCAATTTCCCTATATTTACCATTGGTAGTTATTTCTTACATTTATATAATCATATTTCGATTATTTTTGAAAATTTAAACAAAAAAGAGCCTCATTCTTGTAAGGAAATATGGTTACTTAGACGTGGTATACAACCACTGCTAATTTACGTTCATATTTAGCGGAAATGTGTTTTTACCTTTGCAGGTATACTGTGCTATAAAGTACGGCTTTACTATCCCTTTTCCCTTTTCGAATCCGATTGGAATAGGTCATGTAAAAAAGACGATACATAATATGAAATTAAATTCCAGGGATTTTTATGATGATAATAAAAAATCGTAAGTCAAACCCATAGTGATAAACATTTTCACAAGAACCATAACTGTCAGTCTTCACAGGTAATTAGATGTTTTAACTGTGCATCGATTCCTGGAACAAGCTTGTTTGTGGATCTCAATAGCGGGCGTATACACTTGGGTAAATCAGTGGGCAGACGCATAACTCTGTTGTGGTTGTTAATGTATTAAGAAAGACTTAGAGCTTTAGCTCTTTTAGAGTTTGGCAGTTGACTTAATTGCTCTCACACAGTTATTGGAATAGCTCAGCCTCTATACCAGGTAATATATATTGCGTATTACACTCATGCAGGTGGCCAAGTTAGTAAAACTAGACCTCAGCAGAGCCGATGTTTGAAAATTTATTCTCATCGGCTATGAGGTTCAACAGCTAAGTGCATTAAAGGACGTACCAGAGATACGGGAATACAGGGATACCTAAGTTAATGCTGTACAGTCCACAAGAAAACATAATGTGGAAAATTCTTTTTGTTAATTCATTCTGAATTAAATGAAAAAGGATCTTCTCCATCATTGAATCTCCAACAACATAGTATGGGATGCTTTTCTGTTCTATGCATTTTCAAAATAATTAAGTAAATTATTTGTTATAAATTCGGTGGAAAAAGAAAAATTCTATCGTAATATAATATTTAATGAAGTAGACATTAACAAAGTTATAATTAGCTTTAAACATAATTAGGATTTAATAAAATTTGGCTATAATATGAATAATAATACATTATTTCAAGTAATTTAGGAAATATTTTCCACTAACATATAGGTATTTGAAAAAGTTCCTCGAATTAATAAATTCGATATAATTAAACTCATTAATTTATTCATAGATTGAATCACCGATAGCTCAACAGTTCCATCAGACTTTAGAGTTGATGGATCTGCTGGATGAAACCTCTGTGTTGTTATATCTGAATTTACTTCGCATATTTATATGTTTCTTTTCTGTCTATATGTGAAAGTTCCTAAACCAGCAATAAGGTCATCGATGATATTGAATCAGTCTCTAAACTGAGTGAAACAATGCTATCAATGAGCTCAATGCTGAGTTTAGGAACTTGCCTTATTTATATCTGTTTAGAAACTCAAAAAATCAGTAGGTGTGTATTTCTTTTAACATTTTTTTGCTGTTCAAGTGTTTAATAACCTCTCAGGAATGTTAACCTTCTAATAAAACCAATCAGGTCTTTCCTAAACTGAACATAAATCACTGTCCATCACCACTTGATTTAATCGAATCCATTGATAGAATCAGGGCTGAGATTAAGAACATACTCCTTTTGTTATTAAATAATGTTAACTCTTAAAATTCTAATTTTTGTAAAGATTATGGTTCCTTATCAGTTATTCATCCTAATCAGTTTTGTCTATTTATGCTTTTCATGTTAAACAATTTGTAAGTTCTACAAATACTTTTGTATTTTGTACTATAATTGTTAATAAATGGTCTAAGATCTTTTTAGATAGAATTTTTATGATCTATTTCTTGGTATACTTCTATCTATAACTTAAAATACTTTAATTAAAAATAATGTAAATTCTTCATTTTTTATGAATATAATCTGTCGTCAATAACAACATCCACAATCTTGAGATTAGATGCATTAAACAGAGATTTTTTAATTTAAATTTTACTAATTAATCAAATGTTTTACTTTGTGTTCTAGGAATATTCAATTTGGGAGTTAGAGTTGAATATTTGTTTTTTATTGGAAGCCAACTTGTTGCACTGTCACCAACAGGAAAAATAGGAGTATGGCATGCCATGACCCAGCATTGGCAAATACAAGATGTTGTACCCATTTCTTCTTTTGATACTGCAGGGTCATTTCTCTTGCTTGGATGTAATGATGGCTGTATTTATTATATAGGTATGTGTATTTTCTTATTTGTTTCTTTAAATAAACATTTATATTATCTGAATAATTAAAGAAAACTAGTAGTTAATAATCTCGTTTTGGATTTTCTTTGGCAGTGTTATATTTATCAACTAATTTTAATCAGGACGTTATATTTTTCATAAATAAACTTTTTCTTTAAGCCTTTCTTTTTTGTTTAACATAAGGTGTATTTAGATATAAGTTAAAAAACATTTTAAATTATTATTAATTAGTGATTTTAATCTTTCTAATTTTATAAATCTTGAATTTAATATTCGTTGTGACGTTAAAATTAGAGGACATAATGTTGGAGAAAGCACGTTTGAGGGCGGATCACAAAGCGCCTGCTTCTTAATATTGTGCGTTAGATTCCCACCTGGATCGGTTTATATTTATATATCGGAGGCCCTGAGAAGTGAATATTGACACTCACCCTGTTGACTACTCAGCAGCAACCTCAAGGTAGCTGTCAGAGATTGGCAAAAAGCATCACAAGGTCCACTTGCCGGACTTGTTTTCCCTCCCCCAGTAGCAGTACCAGTTCCAGTGATGTTTAAATTTCTGAATTTAGTCATTTCTGTGCCCTCGTGCAGATCTCATTACCCTGTAGAGGAGAGCTTCCCTTTGGCGGCAGATGTGGGGATGGTTGGTGGAAATTTCTTTGAAGTTCAATGTATGAGAACGACCCTCAGGCTTGCTGGATTGAACTCCCTACTCACCATTAAACCACAAATAGTCATGGATCTCCCTGAGGTAAAATGCTGATTATCCTGAAATAAACCAGTCCCCTGTTTGGGTCTCTGGGATTCATTGCGAAAGTTAAAAATTAGGGATTTAGATATAGGAACGTGGAATGTAAGGGGTTCGAATTCAGCAAGTGGGTTAAAATCGGTCACGAATGAGGATAATGGGTTAAATTTGGATATTGTTGCACAACAAGAGATTTGCTGGCCAGGGGAGGGCTCTATAAGGGAAGGGAATGGGAAGTACACGATTTGTTACTGAGGAAACAAAAATTATTGTTAGGTACCGGGTTTCTAACTAGGAATAGATTGCTATCGGCTTTAAGGCTCCTATCACATCGAAGATGCAAGACGCAAGATGCATGCAGGATGCAGGATGCATACATCTAAATCACTAGACCATATCATTGAACGACAGCTTTCACACCGAAGATGCAAGTGCGTCTTGCAGCCTGGATGCTGACTGAATGAGAACCAGCCAGCTGGAGATTTTAGCATGCATCTTTGTTGTGCTGATCTTGCATACTCGCCCAATTTTTTGGGGTTATTTTTTCGGAAAAAAACCCTGGTAATACCGATCTATAAGTCACAAAAAGTTTTGATATTATCTTAATGATAACTACTGACCACATTTGCGTGCAGTAAAAATCCGAAAATGTGCAAATAGTAAAATTGTGTAATTAATATTTAAAAAAGAAACCAAAATCATCAATATTATTTAATTAATAACAATAATACATCGATATCTTATCAGATCTTTTGTTAAACGAGAGATAAAAATAAAATTAAAATGTAACATTGAAAATGAAATTCCAGATTATAATCAACTAACGACAACAATAAATATAATACTCTAATTAATTACGATTAACCTAAATCTTAAAGAAAGAGAAATTTAAACAATAATAAGGATTACATAAATCTAACATTGACTTAATACCCTTTTCTATCATTTTACAACAATCATTTCAAGATAAAACACAAAACACTTGAATGAAACATTTATTAATTTTTCTCCCTACAGAATAAGGCCTCAATAATTAACAGACAAATAATGAAATATATTTATTTGAATTATCCTTAAATTGGTTTATTGGTCATTTGTCTGCCATATAAGTAATGAGATAATGCATTCTTTTGTTTTTAATAAATTTGGTGAGAGAAAGAAGAATTTTTGGAGTGGGAAATCCCCAAGGATAAATTGGCGAAACTGCAGTTTCTTGAAAAATAGGAAATTCAATATTTATGTTATTATTGAAACTCCGATTGTAAAGGGTGTTCTATTTGGTAATTCAGTTTGTTGTTGATTTATGTATTGTATATTTGAAAATAAATCAGTCAGTGGATGATTAGAAGCAGAACGGATCTTAACAAAGTAAATGAGGTCAAGTTGTTGTCTCCGTATGTCAAGCTCGCGCGGAAGCTCGCCAACTTCAACACATAGGCTATTTGCAGGGCTGGATCGGAAAGCACCATTAGCTATTCGGAGGGTAGTGTTTTGTGCAGGATCTAGAATTTTTAAAATGGTACTCGATGACGATTTGTAGGCATTACAGCCATAGTCCAATTTCGATCTTATTAGAGTCCTATACACACTAATGTTCAATACACACTAATAAGGTTAGCATGCTTTTTTGATTGTAATCCCAGCTAGTGTTACTGACCATTCTTAAGAGATTCAGGGAGTGGAGGCAATTTGCTTTTAATTGTTTAACATGTTGAGTCCATTCAGAGCGTTCTATCAAAGGTCATTCCTAAGTACCGTACAACGTGGGAGAAGGTGACTGATTGATTGTTTATGGTCAATGATGGTAATAAGTTTGTCAATAAGAACTTTCTCGTTGAAGTCTTTCTTATCAAATTTCAAATTGGTATTATTTTTACTTTCAGGTTTTAATTTTTGACAAGAGACTAGATTTTATTTACAGTATTATTTTATTTTATTTTTTAATGATGAAATTACTAAAAATCAATTAAAAGCCAGAAGGGATACTCTGAAAGGCTGAACGGATGAGTGAGGATTCAAATCAAAACAATAATAATAAATGTCTTTTAGTGCTCATCGCTCACGATCGCTGGCGAAGGTTTGATTGTAAATTACAAAAGTGTATGTTATTCTGAGTAAAATTCTGAGTTTTTGTTTTTTCACCCATAACTTCTAAACGATGCATTAAAGCGAAAAATTTACTCATTAATAAATTAAAGAACGTTAAATTGTGTGTCGAACGAGTACATAAACTTTATAATTTGGTTAGATGGGAAGATATAAATTCACGATCAACCAACGCTGATTTTTACCAAATTTGTCAAAAACTGATTTTGAAAATAAAGTATTCAGGCTGAAAAAGAACCAGAAAATTTAGGCGGTTACACAATGCTGAATTGCATGAACTGTATCCGGTTAATTTAATTAAGGTTGTTAGATTGTAACAAATAAATTGGGTGTGTAAAATTGTTAAGCTTAGTATTGACAGAATCCCTAAAAAGTTAATAGGTACTATGCCTAATGATAAACGTCTGAAGTGAGAAGTGAAGGTGGGAAGATTGCATCAAAAATCATCTTATAACATGATTAAAAAATGTTATGAATAAAACTCCTAGACTTAGTATTAAAAAAAAAAAAAAAGTATTGTTTCAATGCTTATGGTTGTGCAGTGAGGAGATCGGGATAGGATCACGCTTAACCGCCACGTTTTCTCCCTTAATCAATTATTTTCTCCCTGAGTCAATTTAATTAGATTCTAAAAGGCACAAATAGCCTGTAGGGGGTCACCCTACTTCACGTTGCAACAAATCATGGTCCCCATGGTGCAGCATCAGGCCATCCGTAGCCCCATAGCTGATCCCTTTGGGGCCTATGTTGTTCTCACCGACTCACTTGGGTTTAAGGGCAATGACAAATCAGTCTAGATCCATGTATTATGGCTGCTCAGAGTCAGTAGGCGCACGAGGACCTATATTTCTTTCCCTGAAACAGATCGTTCATTGACCAAACCTCATGGGGCTACTGACTGACATCCTGGTAAACCATATCCCGATTCCGGATTTACGTACACATAGTAGGGTCATCAGTCTTACACCCGGTCGGTGAGAGTTGCCTTCAGTAGGCTGGCGGGGCTTGCATACCTGGGGAGGAAGGGAGTGCCGAGCAGCGTGGTTTTCACTGTGGGATGGTCACCCGTCTAAGTACTTACCACGCTCGACATTTTTTAACTTTGATTACCTATTGCAAGCGCCTTAGTCCACACGGCTACCCCAGCCCTGGTCCCTCATTGCCTGTAATTAAACATGAAATATTCACTGCTCAAAATTGTTTATTGTTAAGAAATAAAGTGGTTTATGCTATTGTACACATATTTAATTCAAGAGTTCGCTTACACATCATTTATTCCATCCCTCACCATTAGCCTTTCTTAATTCCCTTTCATTGAAAAGAAGTATGTTCCTAAATTTTCTTACCATTGAAAATAGAAAATGCCTTCAGTCAATGCATTAAACTACGTTACTGATTCTGTGATTCTCAGTAATAAAAAAAACTTCCTTTTTTCATAAATTTCTAAATCTATATTCCAAAAAAGTTTTTAAAATATCAAAATGCATAATTAATAAGTCTTGTATATGGATAAAATGAAAAATTGTCATGATACTCTGAAACCATGTATTTCATGAACAGGATGATGTGATGTAATGATAACTCCTAATTTGTATTGCCCACATTTACAAATACTCTTACTATTATTATTATTAATATCCACCTTCTTTAGATGTATTTAATTATTTAACCCATTACACAGAACAATGCATGAAAGTACCACTTCAGTAACTTTAGGTATAATCGCCTTTTCTTATCTCACCCATCCGTACATATATTATTACAGTAAGGCTCGAAATCGGTTTTGTACCAAATATAAGCTCCTGTTATGCTCAAATACCACGAATGGGGTACCGTTGGATTCATAATTGCATGGGGGGTTAGCGAATCGTATTCTCCACTTTGGTTTTTCTTTCTAAAATAAATAAAGTCAATACAAACATTTTGATAGGCTTCGATACTGGAACGGTGGTAGGTGTGTAGATTGATACGGGACAAATTGGATCTTGAAGATTTTGATGCCTACAGCAAGACCCGGATAGTTCCTTCGGAACTATCGGATCCTGCGTTTTTAAGCCGAAAAACGTACTATTTTCGAGATAACGCAAGGCATAGGGTTCGCATCCACACAACCTTACATTAATTGTAGTTTTGTCATTGAATACATGTCTCATTTCGTCGACTTGAGGTCTCTATGATCGAGAGAGGGGGAGTTTATATTATTCATCGATGGTGTTTTTGATCGGCAAGCCATATCATCGTAAATTTTTCACCAAATCTCAAGATTGAGCCACCAATTTCGAAGGCTTCCTTCTCCTTCAGGCTGGCAAAATAGTCCAATCACCCAGAAAATTCAGGCAAACAAGTTATGAAAGAAAATAAACTTTATTTGCGAATAACTGAAAAATTGCACACTTTTCCCTTGGTTATGCCCATAATTATATAAAAGATTACTAAATTCCCTACAAAAGGAAAAAAAAAATCATCGCAATCGGACAATTTTTAGCAAATATACAGCTTACTGAAATTTGTATACATGTTGGTTCCAAACAAAAATGAAGATTTAAATTAATTTTTGTTTGCTCTGTGGATTATATTTATCGATAAAGTAACATTTGATGTCTAAATCTTTTGATAAGTTGCATTTTCTTATTTTCTTATTTGGCATTTGATAACAATATGCTCTGCGAATTTTTCGCACGGGTCTACTAGTATACAAATATTCGGCAACAGACAAGTACTATTTTCAGAACCCCCTAGTCCCTTTCTACTTGTCAGTTTTCTGTTACCTGATCCGACAACAGACAACTAGTCACCATACAGTCTTCAACAATGCCTGAATAGTGTGTTTTTGACTCTTACTATTATTATTATTAAATATTTAATAGTTGACCGTTGTATTTTAAAGGAAGATGGTCCGGGATGGCGGTCATAAATAGACTAAAATAGTGGCAGTTTTAACTAAAACTCCTTGCTGAACACACCTCTCTGAAGGAGACCTGCAAAGTGGGGTCGAAACATTGGCTTGAAATGAAATAGTTTTGCCACTATTTTAGTCTATTTATGACTAATACCCCAGACCATCTCCTTTCCCTATTATTATTATTCTTTATGTACTTACTACCTATTACCCTTAATATACTCCAGTTATCCTAATAATTCATTACCTTTTCCCAGTTGAACTGAATGTCAATAGTCATCTACATATGCTGTAACTTTCTAAAATTTATTATTTAATTTATTGTATATATAAAATCAAATAACTTATATGTATTGTTTGTATCTTATATAGCCCTGAAGAAGACCTATAACGTAGGTCGAAAGGTTGGACAATGTAATAAAATATACTATTATATAATATAGTATTTTTTGACCACACCCCCCGACTAACTTCTTCTGAAAGGGTTCCTTTCAAATTTATTCATAGTATTTGTCTTCATTAATAATTTTATTTTATCGAAATTTTGTTTCCAGATATGCAGAAATTTCCACTTCGAATGAAAGATAATGATCTTCTTGTTACTAAATTGTACAGAGATCCATCTCATGAATTGATCACAGCAATATCAGTTTATTTGACTCCCAAAACAAGTGAGTTAATGTATACTACAAGTTTAATAAATTATTAATTCCTAATTATAAACATACAGTCAGATTCTCTTAAAATGATCTTCAAGAGTCCTAGGTAATACCTATTACCTTATAATTTCCTATACTGTTCATGAATTCATAACAAAGACTCCCAAGTGGGTTACCACAGAGAAACATTTCTATTTTTTGTTGTAGCGATATATCTTTTTGAAACAAATTAAAAAAAAAAAATCATGAGACAAAGTATCCTAAGATTTTTATGATTTTTTTAAATTTTAAATAAAGTAAGAACAATTTTACAACCAATAAAATATTGTTGTTTTGAATTACGATGTTAAATATTCCTCTAAATATAGTTCTTAAAACTTATTGAAACATAGAAATAACATATTAATAGAATTAGTATATAAAATTTGAAAAGTGTATTTTTTCCAGGTTTATGTGGAAATTGGATTGAAATAGCATATGGCACAAGTTCAGGAACTGTCCGTGTCATAGTTCAGCATCCAGAAACTGTTGGACATAGCCCACAATTGTTTCAAACATTCACTGTTCATCAGAGTGCTGTAACAAAGGTAAATCTATACAAGTTCTATTGTTTCATGAATAGAGATGTGATAGCTAAGCTTGTTGTGGTGAAGGCTCTTAACTGCAATTCACTAATGATACCCTCACTGGGTTCATTTCCCAGCTGGCTCAGCTATTTTTTTTTTTTTTTTTTCTTTACTGGATGTTTGTATTTTTAAATTATTTTTCTTATATTATTTCTAATCAAACATAAAATACAGTGTTATGTTTTGTATATTGCAATTTTCTTTTCATATAATAAGAAACTGGAAAGGTTTATTATTTCTATATTTTACTAATTTTAACATATTTTCAAAACTAATACACTTTATTTATTTATTTTTATTTTTAATTTTAATTAATAATTTTCCAATTTATTTATATGTATATTAACTTATGTACTAAATGTTTATAATGGTTAGAAATGGTTGTGGTGAAGCCAGATATCCTCAAATTGTATATCTTACAAAATACAATTTCTTTTCTTTCATTCATTCATTCTTTAAATTTGATCCGCATTAATTCTTCCTCTGGAATTCATCTTTATATTTGTTGAAGGAAGTTTATCGACTGTTCTACATATCGTGGGTGATAAATATTCAGGACGCTGTCATTATAAAGTTTTATTGGTGCCGACGTTTCAACCCAAACATGTGGGTCATCATCAGAGTGTGTTTCGAGCACTGAAGGTATTCAAATACCCTAACACCTCTACTCCAGTACTTGAATACCTTCAGTGCTCGAAAAACGCCCTGATGATGACTCACATGTTTGGGTTGAAATGTTGGCATCAATAAAAACTTTATAATGACTGTTTCCTGAATATCTACCACCCATCTTTATATTTGGTAATACTATAAAAATACAAAAACAACTTCATAGATACAAAGTTTTATACCCAAAAATTAATATAAAATATGGTGCAGTAATAACATTAGTAAATAAAACAAAATTGAAAACAAGAATTAAGCATTAAATTCCATCTAGTATTAAATTTAAAAACAAGATTTTTTTATAAACAAAAGTATAATTAGACACAGCGCTGGAAAAAAATATATATTAATTTAGCGTTCGACGCAATAATAACTAGCCTCATCTGCATAACATTATCTTAAATTTCTATGTTATTGGCCTCAACACTAAATATAATAGCCTTGTTTACTGCTGTATTTATTTTACAATATTTTTATTTTATTTTTTAGGTAACCCTTTCTGAAAAATTTTTGGTTTCCGTTTGTTGTGAATATAATCATGTGAGAACATGGAGTGTTACAAGGTTTCGTGGTATGATATCTACTCAACCAGGTTCAACACCTGTTGCTTCTTTCAAGATTCTTGCACTAGAAGAAATAGACCCTTATATAAGTTATACCGTTGGAAATGATTTTGGTAAGTTTTTAAGTAATTAAAAATGTATACACAGTATTGTTTTAAAAAAGGATAGCAATAATAAACAGCCATTGTTCCTAATAAATCTCCTCTTTTTCTTTCTTTGTAATAAGGATGTAAAAAATAAACTGACAGATTCATTAACCTTCTAGCAGGTGCATTGAAATATAAAGTGCACCACTTAGAGATTTTCAATTAGTAATAGCAACCTGCCCTTGCGTGGATCTCATTACTGCGCAGGAGAGCGTCCCACGGGTGGTGGATATGGGGATGGTCAGTGGAAATTCCTTGGAAGTACCTCCCGGTTAAGTCCAATTGGCTCTCTGACCAACAATGAGAGCGTCCAGGGGGACAACAAGGAGAGGGCCTCTTACCGCGAAAAGGCATGAAAATAATTCTAGGAGACTCGAACACAAAGTTGGGGAGGGAAGAAATTTATTTTCCGATAATCAGTAAAGAAAGTTTGCACGAGTATAATAATGAAATGGGATCCGACTGATTCAACTTCGCTGTCTCAAAAAACCTGTTAATTAAAAGTACTATGTTTAAACATGAGTATACTTGGAGATCACCGGATTTGCAATCATGAAATCAAATCGATCATGCCTTGATACAATGTAGCTGCCAAAGTAGTATAATTAATAAACGGTCTTATCACACTGCAGAACCTGGGTAGGACCATGAATTACTAACTTAACTTCAACATAACTTAATAAAAAAAATAAAATAGTTTCGGTTCCTAAAATTTTAGTCTAGAAAAATTAAAAATCCATCAATTGGAGCTAGAAGTCAAGAATCGGTTCAAAGCTTTAGAATCCTCTGACGAGGATCGCGATGATATAGACATATTATGGGTTGGAATCAGGGATAATATTTAGGAGGCCGGTAACTCTTGTCTTGGGAAAAAGGAAAATTAAAGAAACAAATTGTAGTTCGATGAACATTGTTTGAACATATCCGATGAAAGAAAAGCTCTAAATAGTCCTAGCGAAAACAATCTTGAATACTTCCGAGCCCTAAAGAATGAAACAATTAAATTGTTCCAAAACAAAAAAAAGAGAGTATCTTAAAGATAAAATAATATAAAAACAAACTACTAGATTTGAAAATAATGTAAGAAACATGTAAAATGGTTTAAACAGGTCACATATATGTTGAGGGCCTTTAACATCTGGAATAAGGGATGAAAATATCTTGAACAATCCAGTTGAATTTTAAGTAAGTTTAAGAACCACTTTGACAATATTTTAAATACGGTAAATAATGATCTGTGTCCTCCCTCTGAGTACCAGAGTGCTAAATCGTTTGTAGAAGAACCAAGTAAAGAGGAAGTTCATGTAACTATCGGAAAATTGAAATCTTACAAAGCACCGGAAACTGATATTATTTCTTCTCTTCTTCGATAGCTCTACAGCCCGGGGTGAGCCTTGGCTTCCTGAACAACAGCTCTCCAGATGTCCCTGTCCTTAGCCTTTTCCCTCCAGTTTGTAACTCTTAACCGCCTAAGGTCGTCCTCCACATCCTCCAACCGCCTTTCCCTTCCTCTGACACCATAAATTCTTCCTTTGAGCATCTTTTTTGGGATTCTCTCATCTGCCATTCTAAGAGCGTGCCCCAACCATTCAATCCGCCGTGATTTTATAAAGTTCACAATTTCACTATTGAATCATATAGTTCCTTATTGGTTCTAATCCTCCATGCTTGAGTTTTTTCATTTTACAAGAGGCCAAATATTTTTCTCAGCATCTTTTTCTTGAAGACCCTTAACGAATTTGTCATGGTGGCAGTAATCGTCCATATTTCAGCCACGTAAGTAAGTATGGGTCTTATGAAGGTAGTGTATAGTCTTATTTTTGTTTTTCTTGGCATCAAGGATGATTTCAAAAGCTTTAAATTCGTGAAATACGCATGGTTAGGAGCCATTATATAACTGTCCGGTATGTAACTCTCAAGAAAAAGAGGATATCATTCACTTTTTGGGGACTTGTCACATGTACAGTGAGATAAGAGAGAAATGTTTTGGGCAGCAGACCTGTTCTCCGGAAGAATTATTTGGTTTATTAAAGAGTTCTAACTGGAAAGCCTTAAGCAATTATGAACAGCAGGCCACATTGCAAAGATCTCAATTGATCAGTTAGTAAACTATTGATACAATATCGTGTTTATTTATCGTAACGTTTGTTTTATTGTATATTGGATTTATGAGGTATTAATATTTGATTTTTGAAAACTCTATTTAAACAATTGAAACAGTGAAGGAAGAAATTGCTATAATGAATGTTTAAATATATAATAATACTGTATATATATTATTACTCATTTATTTTAGTTATAAATGTAATGAATATTTATTATTAATTATACACAGACCTCGACAGATGGAATTTTCCATTGTATATGTGTTGTTGCTTTTATATATATTTTACTTTGTATATTTTTTTGAAGTATAATAAACACGTTTTTGTTCAATATTGAAAATTTCATTAAGGGTTTGAACACTTCTGGCAACAAGAGCTATGTCATCTGCATATGCACAGATTTGAATGCTTGAATAAAATATATTTCCTTGCGTATATATTCTATTAACTACCTTATGTAACACTAGGTTGAAGAGAGTGGCGGACAGAGCATCTCCTTGTCTGATACCGGTTGATATTGTAAATGTATTACGTGCAATAACTTTGGTATGGCTATTGCTTAGAGTCATCTGGATCAATCTTATCATCTTTTTGGAATGTTGTATTCTATTAGTGCTTTAATCAAGTTAGTCCTATTAATGCTATCGAAGGCTTGGCGATAATCAATTGAAAGAACATGAATTGTAGTTTTGTGCTCCCATCACTTTTCTAATATTTGTCTCATTACAAAAAATTGTTCCTTTTTCTTTATGGAACCCACACAGATATTCTCCTACAATCCGTTCAGCATAGACATTTAGTTTCTTCAGGATAATATTCGAGAATATTTTTTATGCTACCTACAAGAGGGATATTCCTCTGTAATTTCTGCATTGCAGTTTATCTCCTTTTTTAAAGGTGGGACAAAGCAAATTAGTCCTCCACTCTTGAGGCATGCTCTCATTCATCCATATGTTCAAGACCAAATTATATAGATGTGTGAACATATTCTCGCTACTGCCTTTAAAGAATTCGGCTATAAGTAAATCTTCGCCAGATGCTTTATTATTTTTTAGCTTTTGTATCACTTCGGTTACGTCTTCTATATCAGGTGGCTCAATGTCAGTGTCGTTTGGGATCACTACTCATCACTTTCTTCATTTTCCCTCTTATCCAATTCATTCATTCATGTATGGCACAACATCTCGTCACCGAGACTGGGCCTCCTCCAAGAGCCTCCGCCAGTTGGCTCTGTCTTCTGCTGCAGCTCTCCAGTTCCGCACACCAAGCAGGGTTCTCGCATCATAGGCCACGTTGTCCAACCATCTCGTCCTCGGCCTTCCTACCCGTCTTACGAGGTGCAGCTCCTCCATCATTATTTTTTTTGGTATTTCAAGGGTGCTCATTCTGGCCACATGCCCTGCCCACCTTAGTCTGGCCAGTTTAATATACGTGACTACGTCGATGTCTGCATAGAGAGAACTGAGCTCCCTATTTTTTCTTTTCCTCCAGACATCACCCTCCTTTACTGGACCATAAATCCTTCTGAGGACTCCTCGCTCAAAGACACTCAGCTTCATCTCATCCCTTTTGGTCATCGTCCAAGCCTCTGAGCCATATGTCAAAACAGGCCGAACAAGGGTCTTGTATATGATCAGCTTGGTCTTCTTTGAGAGGTACCTACTTCTTAAGTGTCGGCCAAGTCCAAAGACACATCTATTGGCAGCCGTGATCCTTCTTTGTATTTCTTGAGCCATGTCATTCTTGCTATTGATTTCAGACCCAAGGTATATAAAACTTTTCACTCTCTCAAACTTAAAAGAACCTACCTCAAATGGAGAGTTCAGATCAACCTCACCGCCAACTCTCATATACTTAGTTTTCCTCTCGTTGACTTCTAGACCAAGTGGTCTTGCAGCTGCTTCAAGGCTTATAAACGCTTCTCTGAGAGCCCGTTCAGACCTACCTACTATGTCAATATCATCAGCAAAACCAAGAAGCTGTGTCAGGCGATTGAAGATTATATCTTTGGTCTGAATACCGGAGTCTCTTACAGCTTTCTCCTCTGCCAAATTGAACAATAGACAGGCGAGGGCATCCCCTTGCCTAACCCCACTGCTCACTTTAAACTCTTCGGAGTCGTCAGAACCGACGCGTATTCTGCATCTCGAGCTGTCCATGGTCATCTTGATTAGGCGTACGAGCTTCTGAGGGATGCTTAGCTCCTCCAAGGCACAGTATAGTTGCGTTCTATCAACGCTGTCGTATGCTGCTTTAAAGTCCAGGAATAAATGGTGGGTGACTACCTTACGCTCCATAGTCTTTTCTAGGATCATCCTCAGAGAGAACAGTTGATCAGTCGTTGAGCGTCCTCTTCGAAATCCAGCCTGATATTTCCCCAGTTCCTTTTCAGAATACGGGAGGATCCTCTCAAAAAGAATGTTAGAGAGCAGCTTATAAGCACACGAAAGGAGTGAGATTCCTCGATAGTTAGCGCATTCTGTTTGATCTCCTTTCTTATGTATTGGGCAGATAATGGCTGTAGCCCATTCCGTAGGCATAGCTTCCTTCTCCCAGATGGTCAGCATTAAATCATGCAGCGCATTCGTGAGTTCTTCACCTCCCCATTTCAACAGCTCGGACTGGATTCCGTCCGGGCCTGGCGCCTTTCCATTTTTCAATTTCCTCAGGGCGTTTTCCATTTCCTCCTCATCCGGGGGTTCAATAGAATTCAGGGAGTCTTCCTTCATTACACCTACTTCTCCAGGCACCGTTCCTCTGTTTAATGCACCTTTGAAATGTTGTACCCATCTCCTTAGTACGTCATCTTTGTGGCTTAAAAGAGTTCCATTTGTGTCTTTGCATGCCGTCACTCTGGGCCTA